TGCAATTAATTTTTAATTTCATCTACTTTTAGTATTCCATGCATATACCGCAAGTTTGATGTGACAGAAAATCTTCCTTTTCATAATGTCAAACTTGAGAGTTTAGGAGTAACTAAACAAGGGCTGAGTCGCTAGCGCGCTGTCTTTGCACTGGTCAATGAGGTTTCATCTAGACTACTCCTATCTCAGAATTAAAGACGTGGTAGCATTCAAAATATGTACCAAAAAGCTTGACATTTTCACTGCGTTTGGCTGACAAGAAAATTCACTGTAGCGGCTGAAAAGCACTGTAGCGGCTGATATTTTGTGAGAGAAAAATACTGTTCCGGCTGAAAAAAGAAGCGGATCAAGCCGGGTTTAGGGTCAGCCGAACGCAGCCTTGCAGGTGCTGCAGCCTTTGCCCTCTCCACAGGCCCATCCGCTCGGCACCCACCCACTCCACAGGTTGGCAGCCTGTTCGGATGAGATTATATGATCGTTTACTATCGTAAATTTTCAATCGAAATAGTATTTTTTTTCACACCAAACCAGCTAATAGTACTTTTTCACGATCCAGCAATGAACAAGCCCAGCCAAACGAACAGGCCATCGGCAGCCGCTTTTGGTCCTAATTGTAGTATAGGGGTCATTTGTTCATTTCTTGGTTATCCATCCAACGGAGGCTTAGCTATCTGTACACTATTGGAGACACCCTTATATGTATCGACTGCATGGTTAGCTGCAAATGACGTGGCATCTGTATTCAGCCAGCAGCTGGCTGAATAATTATTAGCCATGCTCTGATGTCCATTTCAGCGGGTTGCGTGTGTACCGTGTGGACCAGGCAAGGGATGAGAATCATGAGAGGGGGATAGTTTGCTTGGGTCTCCAGGTTCACTGTACCATCTAGTACTATTTCCCAGATCAAACAGGCGCGTTCATCTATTCTTTCTTTTTTTGGGGGTCTATTCCTCAAGAACGAAATGCCATTTTTTTGTTATTAGAAAATATAAAAGAATATAAAAAAATTGGAGGGAAAGAGGTTGTTGTTTAACACACACCTGGGCTGATTGCAACACATGGGCCTCGTGAGTTCCATGGGCCATCTGTGGAAACCTGTGGCTCGGTGACGATAGGCCTCTCGGGCCTCGTGGGTACTTGCACTCTTGCAGTTGCAGGGCGAAATTCGCGGGGGGAAGTACAGGCGGCCTCTCCAAACTTTTTTTGCAAAATCGGATTTGTCTTTCTTAATTAAAAACTATAATTTTCCTCTTCTGATTTTTGAATAAAACAGTATGAATTTGCTCTTAGGGCGGTTCGGAAAGTGGTTTTAACTGACTTAGTCACGACGGAGGTAAAATCGGACTATGTTAAACTGTTCAAAGGTCGATTGGACTTTTTATAATGAATTAATTATATAATTAAATTTTTAGAAAAACAGTATCCAAATATTTTTCTCAAAAAAGTGCAACTAAAAATCCTAAAAATCTGATATAATCATAGAAAATTCATAGAACTTTGTTATAGCTGAGAAAAAAAAATATGAAACCAGTTTCATATTTTCATAAGATCTTGCTCTATGTTATGGTTCCTAGGGAGTTATTTGAATCCTATTTGGTCTCCTTTTAGTGTATCTATTATCGTTAGTCTATGTTGATGACCCAGATCACGTAGAAGTTCAACTCATCAACTAACATTCGGTGACAACACAGTCTTATACTTGATCCTATTTAACATGAACACATGTGTCACTTTATACACACATGCGCACCCACGAGATAAATACATGCATGCACGCCCATCCCCTAAGAGTTCTTGAGAATAACAAAGCCACCACAACCATCTCAGTACATTTTTCACATCATTCTCTTGTGTGATTGTGTTATTTTTGTGCTGATAATTCAAATTTCACCAAGCAAAACTCATTTGCATGTTTGCAAACAAGAAACATAAAGTAAAGGGTGTTTCTTTGCAATATGGTGGTACCTAGCTGGTAGGGCCTCTCTGAGTAAACGTAGACTAATTTTAACATATAATGAGATCATCTACTAGCAAGTAAACATCAAAAGGAGACTAAACAAGATTCAGATAAATTCCAAGCCACGTTCCACAAACTGGAGCATTGTTATAAAATAAAAAGAAATCGATTTCATACATTTTGTAGCTGAAACAATTTTTCTAATTTTAGATTATATTTGGATTTTAGTTGCATGCTTTTAGAAAAAATAGATATTTTTAAAATATTTTTAACCTTTTTTGATAAATTTAACTGACCTCCTTGAACAATTAGTCTATTTACGCTGATCGCAAAAAAGTAGTCTAGACTTAAATCTAGGTTCTACCTAGATAAATCAAAGAAATATGAGCGTTCCAAGTCGAAGACTTAAATCTTGGTTCTACCACAAGGAATTTAATTAGCTAAGCTATGACTGTTTTGACCTAACACTCGCTACAATTTTTCTTGCATGTATCAAAACCATGGGTGGAGCTAGGTATCCGGCAGGGTCTGGCAACTGCCATACCTAAAATAAAATATGTAGAAAGACCAAAAATATGTTGTGTGTGTGTATTCATATAATGTTGTAGTGAGCCATTGCATAGATGCATATTAGATGTTTCATCTTTATAAATTTCGCCACACCTTAAAAACTATTCCTGCCTCCACCACTTTCAAAACGCAACAAACTGCTTGGTACCTCTAACCCTAGCCTAGTTGAAAAACACACACAAATGAAGGAAAACTTATCTAGGACCTTTAGTAGTTGATTGATGATGATGCAATCACCCATCTTATCCTAGACGTGTAGGAGCAGCACTGATAGGAGGCATTCAGATTTCTCTTGGGCGATAAGACAGATCAGCTTGATACACATACAGTAAAAGTGTAAACCCACTCCACTGATAGTGATCGGAACAGTCGTATCTAATCATTGATGAACCCCGATACTAGTTATTATTCTAGCAATAATAATGGCCAAGACGACGGCTAGGGCTAGAACAACGACGTGGGGGGCTGCATGCAGCCAGCCACAGCAGGCCCACAAGCCCACACAGCCAGTACATTACAGTGCAGGCCACCCACTCGCCCAGGCCTGCGGCAGTGCCCACCAAAGCTAGCACGTGGGCCCCCGCCGGAGCGTGCGCGCAATGGTGGCGCCGAGCCCACCCGGTCGACCCCTGATTGGCCAGATCCGCACCTGTCACCTACTCCAGTCTCCAGCCTATTGCAAATTTTGCAACGGTAGTAAAGGCACTCGCTGTTGGGGGCGTTGGCAGTGGCCTCCCTCAATTATTCTTTTGCGAAATTACAGCTCCTAGAAATATTTGGGGCTTGTTTTAGCTTAGTACTGCAGTAATATATAAGATGTTTTGGTATTTTGATCTAGATTCGTAACTTTTACGGTGTATCTAGCAGTGACATATATCTAGGCGCGTAATAAAAACCATAAATCTAGAAATGTCAAGACATTTTATAAATTCGGAACATAGCGAGTAGATTGGAGTAGTGAAGAAGGTGGACAGGTGAAATGATCTTCCAGCACTTGAAATTCCCAAGTAATCGATCACCACGGTTGCAGGCCTTGCTGAGATTGCAGCATGCATGCAGTCGAGCTCTCACCAAGAAGCTGACGACGAAGCCAAGTGCATGCATCTGGCCACTGCGGCGTTTGCATTTGCAACTCCCCCACCCACAATATTCGGTATTCACCTTTAATTGTGCACTTGATCATGCATGAAAAGGCTGAGACAATGGATGGACCAAGCTAGAGACAAGTGAAACACCAAGGAGCAGACAGCAGTAGTAGTACACATGGGTACTCCTTTGCCCTCCATTGGTACAGGAACAGGAGTAGTAGGACGGGTAAATGCAACAGTGTCAGTGCGCCATGGCAGCAGCAGCTGGTACAGTACTACAGTGTGTAGTAGTACTGCCGACGGCCGTGTGTGGGCAGAGAGGAAGGACCGTCCGTCCCCGCTACGCTACCCATGTGACACTGCCGTCGTTACTCTTCTCGGACCGATCGATCGTTCCTCGCCCGCCGGCCGGCTGTCTGCGGCCTCGTGCTCTGCTCTGGCGCGCCACCACTCACCACTGGAGGCTGGAGGGAAGGGAACGATGGAGAGGACCTCGCCGGAGAGTAGCTATACGTCCGGTTCGTTTGACTTATAAATCGTATTTTTTCAACTAACGAATAATATTTTTCTCACATAATAAATCAGGCAACGGTATTTTCAGTCATGACTTATCAGCCAAACGAACAGACAGATGGACACGGGTTGGCGCTGGACCACCTCCACTGCCCACTGACCCTTGCTGACTTGCCGGAGTACTTTAGCTGACACTACTACGTGTACTTCTACGGAGTACTCGCTCCGTCCCTAAATGTCTATCGTTTTCGTTTCTCGAAAAACAACTTCGACTCTAGTTTTTTAATAAATTTATTTAGAGGTAGAAATGTTGTATATATTTTCTATAAATGGAGTCAACATTATCAGCGCGCAGATCGTGACGAGACTGAGGGAGTACTTTAGTACTACAGTACTTCCCAAAAACATGGACCATCGACATCCAGCATGTTCGGTTGGCTGGTTCGTTTCGTTGCTGGTTCGTAAAGAAGTACTGTTGCCTAATTTATGTGAAAGAAAAATACTATTCCAACTAAAAATTTACGTTCGTTTACAACAAACCACGGCAAAACGAACAGTCTGGACATCACCACGGCTTTCCTTGCACGAACACACCACAGAGTAGGAGTAGTCCCGAATCCCGATGGCGACGAGTTCATCAACTGACCTTGACCTGCTCCTACCATGGATGATGGATGGATACTGGACTGCTGCTGCTGCTGCTACACGTAGTACGTTCTACTGACAGCGAGGTGCCAAGAGAATCAGAACGGCAAGATGTCACTTTGGATTTTGCCCACTCGCTCGTCATTCATCTCAGCTCAGCGCGCCTGTAGTTATTTACTCCGTACATGCCAAATCAACCGGTAGAGACGATTAACCGTCGCCCAGCCTTAACTCCCTAAACCGCGAGCATTGTTCAAGCAAACCAACTCGTTACATTCACTCACTAGTGGCGGCGAGCCGGCGGCGGCGGGGGGAATGTCCTTCTTGGCGGCCTTGTTCTTTCTGGCCGCGCCGCCGCCGGCGGCGGAGGAGGAACCGGCGGCGCCCGACGGGGAGAAGAGGCGGTCGATGCCGAAGACGGAGACGGACTTGCGGGAGCCGCGGAGGGAGCAGACGGGCACGTTGAGCACGGGCGCCACGCGGACGTGCGCCGAGTACGACCGCTCCATGCCGCCGCTTCCTGGGCCCGCGTTGCGGTGGCGGCGGCCGCCGGCTAGGCTGCTCGGGTTGCTGGAGCTCCGCCCCAGGCCGTTGAACACCACCTTGCCTGCTGCGTTCAGGCGCGGGCTGTCGGCCGCCACCGCGGATGGAGGGGGAGGCGGCGGAGGCGGGGGCGGCGGGGGCGACTGGGACTGGGACTGGGAGGTCGTCGACGACATCGACACCGACGCCTGCTGCTGCTGCGACGGGGTCAGCCGGATCTTGGGAGGCAGCAGGCTCTGGTGCTGCGACGACGATGACGGCGGAGGTGCCAGTGCCTGACCCGGAGCGGGCGCGGGCGCGGACTTGTCGGCGGGCTTGGTGGTTTCGGACTCCTCGGGGCCGGGCTCGCGGAGCAGCGGCAGGCTGAGCGACGGTTCTGGCTTCGGGCCCCGGCGGAGGAGCCGGCGCAGCGGCCTCGGCTCCGCCGCGGCGGGCCCCGACGACGCCGCCGCCTGCTGCTTCCGCAGACGCAGGAGATCCCGCCACCTCCTCGCGGGGATCTTGGGCTCCGCCTGCGCGCCACCCTTCACCGCCGCCTCCCCCACCGCCCGCGGCGTCTCCGGCTGCTGCGCCGGCGCCGGCGCCGGGGGCAGCTGCTCCTGCTTCGGCAGCAGCAGCAGCGTCGACTGCGCCGTCACCTCGACGCCGACCTCCACCACGGGCGCACCCGTCTCGTCCGCGGGCGCCGGGATGCGGAGCGGGACCAGCTTGCCCCCGGAGAAGAGCTCGTCGGCGGGGAGCATGGAGCATGCCGCGGCGCACCCGCCGAGCAGGAACTCGAAGTCGGCGCCGGCTCCGGCGCAGGCGCTGGGCCCGGCCTTCCCTCCCGCCGCCGCAGCCTCCCTTCCGCCGCCTCCTCCCGCGTCGTCTAGGCTGAACGACACCCGCGGGCCCAGCCACTGCACCGCCGCCGCAGGCGGGGGAGGGGGCGGCGAAGGAGGAGGTGCCGGAGCCGGGGCCGGTGGTCGCGGCGCGGCCGCGGCGGAAGCCATGACTCCCTCCTCCCTACTCCAGTTAGCAGAAGCAGCACGCGGCACGAGGGTAGAGAGCTAGCCGACAAGGAAGGATGGATGGAAAGGAAAGGAAGCGAAGCGACGTGGGTTGCCTTCCTTGCCTCCGGATCTTCTCTCCTCCCTTGACCCTTCTTCTTGGCGGGACGACGACCGAGCTCGAGGTGTACTAGAGGGGGGAGGAGACAGGAGGCGTACGGGCTAGGAGAGAGCCTGCCGCCGTGTAGGAGTAGACTCGTAGCCGCCGCGCGCGTGTGATGACGGCGAGGCGTGTCTCGGGAAAAGGCGTCGTTGCCTGCTTTTGTTTGGGGGCTCTTGCTCCGGCGGGGCCGGGGCTTCAGGGCTTGTGTTGTCAGTGCGCTGGTCTTGGGACATGGATGGTGATTGTCGTCAGATTTCGTGGAATAGAATAGTGCGTTGTTTAGATCGTAAGTTTTTTCATTCTCTCTTCATCACATTAAATCTTTGACATATGCATAGAGTATTAAATATAGATAAAAAAATAACTAATTACACAGTTTGATTGTAAATTACAAGACGAATCTTTTGAGCCTAGTTAGACCATGATTGAACAATAATTATCAAATACAAACAAAAGTGCTGCAGTGCCAAATACTGATTCCTAACCCCAATCTAAATCAGGCATGGAGCGTGTGATTATTGCTTTGTTGAATCATCACGGTTAGTAATGATCGATTCTCAGTTTTTCAAAAAAAGAAGAAGTAATGATCGATTCTTTGCAGATGGCTGCTTTGCTTGCAAATGTAAAGGCAACTAGTGGAAGGCGCGCGCCCTTACGCGCGTTGGTAGACACAGGTAAGTTCACATTCGAAAATATATATTGAATTTTTCAATGCAGAAACGGAGTTAGCAGTCAAATAGATAGGTAAGTAGTTGGTAACATTACACAGCCATAGTAGATTAAGCATAGTTGAAGTAGCGACATAATGAGTACATACGGAGTGACACGACGAAGTTTCTAAAGAGACTGATGTGTGTTTCCTAGGAACCTTTGGTATATATGCACATAGGATTGAGATGGCAAGGCAATCACCAAGCGCGTCGATGTGATAAATATAACCTCGCACATCTCGCCAAATGACGAAGCGACCATCTTGTTCCATGTTGTCACTCTATGCGTGACAAAGACAATCAGTTTTAAAATAGTAGGTAGTTAGACCATCGTGATCTCTCTTAATTCAGGTAGGATAGGGAGGAATGGTTGGTACTTGGTAAGCGAAGCGGAGGGCTAAGAGTGTTACCGGTTCCTCATCTCCTCCTCGATCCGCTTGATGCAATTATAGAGGTTTGGCATGGCAGAGCACAATGCAGGATTCATTAGCGCTCCAAGTTAGTTACCCAATTAGCTACGTATGCATAATGCTACCTAATAAGAGGCATACCTAATAAGAGGCATACCAGTTTACTTTGAGATAATGACCAAATTGGTCCTTTAGCTAAAGAAGTTGGTAAAATCAGAGTAAGAAAGAGGGGCATTCAAAAGACAGCTATATGGTTATATGGCATGGCTGGCTATACATTGTGTAGTGGAGAATGGACCACGGGAAGCATTTATGTGATTAGCATATGGCACACAAACAAGGGTACAATGTTGTGCTTGAGCAATGTCCCAGCACCCCTGTATCTGCTTTAAAAATAATTACATCCATTTCAGTTTAAAGAAGATAGTACATGCATATTGGGAAAACAGAAATTGTTTCGACCCCCGACAGTTTCCACAGGCATTTTTAAGGTAAACAAACCATCTAGCCATTTTTCTTCACCTCTCATTCTTTACATCATATCACTTTAATGGAATAAATGTACCATTTCAACATTTCTACCAGAAAACAATAGATGGTATGCAGATACAAGAAAGGGAAGAAAAGATAGCTCACCAAATGGTCAAATTCCAAGATAAGACATGCTTCACATCTTCTTTAGCTGGCTTGTAGCCACACCTATCCCTCATTGAGGTTAGGTCTGAGAATTATGTGTAGGTGTAATGCAGAATAGCAGCCTCCTCCAATTTGATTTCACTACATAAAAAAAAGAAATATATGACAAAACCATCAAGCATAAACAGACTAACAAATAACGCCGTATATTCAGATATCTTATTTGGGGATTTGATGTGATTATGCTATCTATGAGGACCGTTCGGACGCAAATGCTCTCTGGTATGTGTCTTGAAATTCTACGAATTTTCCATAAACTTCTACATCATTTACTACCTATCCTAAAAGTTGAGGACGTTACCCCGGTTGCCACTGATAGCACTCGCAGAAAGGGTGGTAGGTGGGGAAGAAGGTTATAGGCTATTTACCATCTCTTGGCCGTGGCCATCAGGAAGCTACTCCTCTATGGGGTAGTTTTGCTGTTTGTAGAAGAGCTTTAATTTTGCTATGTGTAATTGCGCTATTGTTGACTGTTGGTAGAAAAGAAAACCAAAAGCCTAGATCAGATTACTCTTGAAGAAAATCTAAGCCTGCATAAATTTCTTATAGCTCATATTACAATATAAATTTGTGAAAATAGGACCATATGCAATAGTAACTTACACATGTTGCAAAGAACATTTGGTAGCGTACTGGAATGCAGAACAGTGTAAATACAAATATGAAAAAGTAATCGAACAGGACCTCAGAATTGAAACACCACTGCAACGTACCTGAAGTCACACGGATAGGAAAGGTTACCAAGAAAACTGGAGGTGACACAGTTTTGACGAGAGCACATGTGAAGTAGACGGAAGCTTACATATGCAACAGCTGGAACAGCCAGAAATAAAAAAAATAATTGAAGGACAGATCAATAGATCATCAAATACGATAACACGAATAAACTAACATATCATAGGGAGCATAGCCACCCTCTGTTTTGCTGTGTAGTCTGAAAATTCTCTCAATTCTCAGTCAGACAAATGCTAATACAGCCTATACAACTAAGACTACTCTGATCTATGTTTTAGTGAAGGTAACTCACATATCTGATGCGGTAAAACTACCAAAATAATAAGTATGTTTTAGTGAAGGTAACTCACATATCTGAAGGCAACGACCTCAGGAGTTCAGATTTCATAAGTAAGAGGCAGTCCTAACCGCACAGATATCTAATTGAATAGGCAACAAATACCAACTCTCATTGGTGCCTCCAAAATACAGAAAACAGAACAGATAGGAAAAGATGGCAAAAAACAGGAATAACCAATTGACCTAGGTAGAAGGAGGTGCCAAAAAAAAGCGCAGAGCGCTACATAAATAATAGCAATTCCCGTTGACATTTCTCTGTAAACCAACACGTTCTTTTAAAGGTCTGCAAAATCTGTATCGCAGTAATGGAGTAGGTAAGAATTTATTTTCAATGAGAAGAGGATTTTTAGAAGCCTCAAAAACATGGCAATGATCATTTGTTAATTAACCTAGAGCTTCAAGGCATGCTAAGGAATCAGTTACACTGAGAAATTACATGATATGACTAACAGATGATGCCCAGTACCTCACAAGCGAATAAACATCCGATCATATCCCGGAGGAACAGTCATGGACTTTTTATCACAGGCCGAAGAAAGGAAAAAAATGTAAGCAAGTATGCAATGAAATAGGAAAGGCAGAGCTCAGATTAGACAAATGAGGAAATCATCACAGGCAATGACCTCGGGAGTTCAAATTTCATAAGTAAGAGGCAGTTCTAGCTTCATAGTCTGTGATTGAATAGGCAACAAATAACAACTCTCATTGGCACACATGTGTGAGAAATTTATGTGTAAGCAGAAATCAAAGTGTACTCGGAACAAAAAGAAACGGGAGAACCCAAAAAGTGATCACCAACAATGATCAGAGGCATACAAACAGGGGCTCAGATTGGACAACTATAAGTGTTTTGACATCAAAGGCAATGATCATAAGCAAGCATGACCAGAAAACCAAAGGCAATGAATAGGTTAGACAAAAGGAGAAAGCATCAATGGCAATGACATCACAAACTCAGACATTTCAAGGGGTTCCGTCAAGGAGACGGCATCCACGTCGTGTAGAGAAATGTGTACCATTCCATCCACCTCAAGAGTCGGGTTAACAGTGAAAAGAGATGGAAAAAATAGAATCAACACTATTCATGACCATTGCTCGAGCCATGAAAATAATAGGTAGATGTAAAGGAAGAATGGTCATAGCTCCCGAACATTGCCTCGAGTTACTGTGGGAAAAAAAAAAGAAAGAGATGTAAACTGTTTAATGGTAGCCCATGACCACCGCAAATCGGACATTAAACATGGTTTATGATGCAATCTCGACAAGAAGAAAACCCATTCGCATGAAAATTAATCCAACAAAGAAAGGATACGGCAAAAATAATAAGCAATCATCACAATAGCGGTCATCATTGCACATGAGGACAACGCAAAGGAAAAACACCAAAAATTATAAGCACTCAAGTGTAGTTTCGCAAATTGACCAAAAACATATAAAGACCAATAACACAAAGGGAAATGAGGTTGAAGCCTGAAAAAAACACATGTAAGTTTTTTTAGTCCAGACTTGAACAGCAAAGGATACACCAAAAATAATAGAATAAACACTATTCACGACCATTGCCTGAGCCATGAAAATAATAGGTAGATGTAAAGGAAGAATCGTCATAGCTCACGAACATTGCCGAAAGTTACTGTGGAAAAAGAAAGAGATGTAAACTGTTTAATGGTAGCCCATGACCACCGCAAATCGGACATTAAACATGGTTTATGATGCAATCATGATAAAGACCCATTCAAAAAAAAAATTAATCCAACAAACAAAGGATACGCAAAAAAATAATAAGCAATCGTCACATAGCGGTCATCATTGCACATGAGGAAAACGCAAAGGAAACACCAAAAATTATAAGCACTCAAGTGTAGTTTCGCAAATTGACCAAAAACATATAAAGACCAATAACGCAAAGGGAAATGAGGAGGATACACCAAAAATAATAAGCAATCATCA